TACTAGCTGTGTGACCATGGGCAAGTCACTTAACCCCATTGCCTAGACCAAAAAAAAAAAAAGAGGGCCAGAAAGGGAAAAGTAAGTAGTTGCCTGAGGTAGTATCAATCAATAAACATTTATTAAGCACCTACTACATGCCAGGCACTGTGCTGTGTAAAGAGGAGTTTTAGTTTACAACTCTAGCATTGACTTACAGTGTTATCTTAAGTAGGTCCCAAACCTTCCTTAGATTCCAGTTTCCCTCATTAATTTTAAAAAAAAAAGTTGCACTAGATAATCACCAAAGGCTCTTCTAGCTCTGACATTCTCTGGGTCTATGAACCGAAAAAGGTCAACAAATAGGGATTATACTCGGGGGTTTATTTCCTTAACTCTTGTTCCAAGCTAGATTATAAAATCTAAAAAATTTGAGAGGGTGCTTCATCAGGCACAGGGTTGAATTAAATGATTTCATACGCCTTTCCAGCTTCACTGCTCTGTGATTCTATTATGGTGATTTATGGTCCACCTCTCCTCACTACCATGTCAAATGCTTAATTTAACCCCTATTTCATTCCAGTTACTATTATTCAGTTTAGTGTAATTCCATAGGGGTAGTAATTATTGTTGGTATGCTTGTCTATTAATATATATTTAGTCAATTAATATTAGTACATATTTTACATATTTAGGGATAATTAGATACGGTTGGACAGATTCTTTCTTACAAGAAAGAAGTGGCCTTGTAAACCGGAGTTTAAAGTTCTGATTATATCGGGCCTCAGAGCTTTGAACTGTGGGCTGTAAATTCAATTCCTTAACCACAGGAAGCTAACTAGAGGACCTCCACCCTTTATTGCCTGATGAGTAAGTGACCAAGCCCAGCACGGCTGAGATGTCCTAACAATATGGAAAATCCCGCAGCGTCCTTTCGTCCCTCCAGCCTTCATTATCCCTCTCTACTGCCCAACACGAGAAACAGCTTTGGCACTTGGCCAATGGGCAGGTGACTAAATGTACATGGAGAGACAAGCATAAGAGAAATAATCACTACCCCTATGGAATTTCACTAAGCTGAATAATACTGATCAGAATAAAATGGTGCTTAAATTAATCATTTGCCACACTACATAGCATAGAGCCCTGGTACAGAGAAGATATAATGATGAGGACCTGAGTTCAAATCTAGCCTCAGACCAAACACTTGACACTTACTAGCTGTGTGACCCTGGGCAAGGCACTTTACCCCAATTGCCTAATAAACAAAACAAAACGAAACAAAACCATAAACGGGGAGCCTCATATGGGTTGAGAGCTACAAATGCCTCTGGGGATGGGGCAATCCTGGGACCACAGAAGTGCTGAGCTCCACGAGGATGACCTACATTCATCTAGTTCTTTCTTCAATGCTTCCCTTTCAGCCTGGCTTTTCCGAAGCTCCTCATTTGCAGTTTTGTGGGCTAGAGAAAACACAGACCGAGGAAGAGATTTATGAGTTAAGGTCCTAGCCTAGACTGCCCTCAAATGGTTGGGGGATGCTAAGACCACTATTTGACAGAGGAGGCGATCAAGACTCAATAAGGGAAAGGGACTTTCTCAAGGTCACCTGCCAAATGAGAATTGTAGGAGTTAAGGTTAAGAAATGTTTTCTTGAATCCTAGGCAATAGAGTACCTTCTCTTCCATCCTCTTTGTCCACCCTTCAAGGTCCAGCTCCAGTGTGACTCCCCCTGGGACATTTTCCCCAGCTACCCTAGACTGACCAGATTTCATCCTCCTCTGACGGAAGAGAAAGGAGGGAGGGTAGAAAGAATGTCAGGCTTCTTGAGGGACTTGAAAGTTCTACTTAGCAGCCTGAGCTCCCCGAAGGTTTAAGGTTTGGACCTTCCTTGCTCCTTAGCTCACCTCGCTGCAGTTCATTAATCACATTCATCATTTCTTCAGTTCTGGGATTATGGCTCTCTGTTGTGGGAGGAGAGAAAAGTTAGGCCTTTGGGTTAATAACATCGAACATATACAGAGGCCTTAGGGTTTGCAAAACACTGTAAGTGCTACCTTACTGGGTCCTCACAACAACCCTAGGAGATCGGTGCCATTATGATAACTGCCATTTTACAAAAACTGAGGAGGGAGAAGTAAAGTAATTTGCCCAAGGTTCCATAGGCTGTGTTTGAACTCAGGAAGATGAGTTTTCCTGACAGTACCACAAAAAACAAACAAACCCCAATGCTCCTCAGGGTTGTGTATGGGATTTGGAATCAGAAGACTCAGGCTCGAATCCTAAGTCCTGGAAGCTGTCACTAAAGGAGAGTGAAGACGACATATTTATTCATTAGGCAAATGACTGATGAGAATGTCTGTTTTTCCCATTTCCTCTTTTTCTTCCAAATACATGCTTTTACTGATTCCATGCAATCTGCCTAGTTTCTCGTTAGTTCCATAATAACAGGGTGATGTTACATGTAGTCCATGGGCAGTCAGCACTGGCTGGCCCACAAGCAAACAGGCATTGGAGTGTATCAGAGGTTCTCAACCTGGGGTCTGTGAACTTGTCTTTTAAATGTTTTGGTAACTATATTTCAATATGATTAGTTCCCTTTTTAATTCTATATATTTGATTTTATACATTTAAAAACCTTCTGAAAAGGGGTCCATAGGTTTCACCAGACTGCTACAGGGGTCTGTGACACAAAAAAGGTTAAGGACCCTTGGACCACTGAGCTATAACATCTTGATTCCCTGTTGTTGTTGTCCAGCCATTTTTTCAATTGTGTCCAACTCTTCATGACCCTATTTGGGTTTTCTTGGCAGAGATACTGGAAGGGTTTGCCATTTCCTTCTCCAGCTCATTTTACAGATGAGGAAACTGAGGCAAACAGGGTGAAGTGACTTGCCCAGGGTCACAAAGCTAGGAAGTGTCTGAAGTCGGATTTGAACTCAGATCTTCCTGACTCCAGGCACCCTATCCACTGCTCCACCTAGCTGCTCATTTCCTGTGACCATCCACAAATCACCATGGGCCTGTTTGTTTCCTTCCCTGTAAAGTAAACATGAGCAAAAGCTCTAAAAGCCTTGAAGTCGCTAAGCCCCTGCCCCTAGAAACTGATACTAGTCCTGTCTGTTAAATGGGGGTGACTGGATTACAAGGTCTTTTGGGTCCAATTCAGCTATAAGAGCCTATGATTCCTTACGATCTTGGGCACATCAACCTCCCTTCTAGAAAGACTTCCTTAGAACTTTAAGGTCACTCATGAGCCAGCACTAATTCCTCAGGGGCTTGGGTTGATTTTTGAGGAGGATTTTTTTCTGATAAGTATACCTCTAGGCTTCAGTTTTCCTACCTATAAAATGAGAAAGTTGGCTTTAGTGATCTCTAACATCTTACTTGTCTCCTGAGGAACCTGTATGTAGGTCAAGAAGCAACAGTTGGAATCAAACATGGAACAACTGATTGGTTTAAGATTGGAAAAGAAGTTGTATACTGTCTGTATAGACAGGGCTGTATGCTGTCACTTTATTAATTTGGCTTACGTGCAGAGTACATCATGCAAAATGCCAGGCTGGCTAAATCAAAAGGCAGAATTAAGGTTGCTGGGAGAGTTATCAATAATCTCAAATGTGCAGATGATACCATTCTGATGGCAGAAAGTGAAGAGGAATTAAGCCTCTCGATGAGGGTAAAAGAGGAGAGTGTAAAAACTGGCTTTGAACTTTTTTAAAAATTTTTTTTTAATTTTTAGGCAATTGGGGATAAGTGACTTACCTAGGGTCACACAGCTAGTAAGTAGTAAGTGTTCAATCTGAAGTCGGGATTTGAACTCAAGTCCTCCTGACTTCAGGGCGGGTTCTTTATCCACTGTGCCACCTAGCTGCCCAGGCTTGAAACTTAATATGAAAACAAACAAACAAACAAACAAACAAACAAACATTCATCATAGCAACTGGTCCCATGACTGCCTGGCAAATATAAGGAGAAGAAATGGAAGCAGTGTCAGATTTTGTATTCTTGGGCTCAAAGATCACTGCACATGGTGACAGGAGCCAGGAAATTAAGACACTTGCTCCTCGGAAGGAAAACTATGGCAAATCTGAACAGCAGACTACAAAGCAGAGACATCACCTTGCCGACAAAGGTCTGTAGAGTCAAAGGTATGGCCTTCCCAGTAGCAATGTAGGCTGGGAGAGCTGGACTTTAAGGAAAGCCGAGCGTCACAGAATCAACGCTTTTGAATCGTGGTGCTGGAGAAGACTTCAGAGAGTCCCTGGGACAGCAAGAAGGTCAAATCAGTCAATACTTTAAGAAATCAATTCAGGCTATTCACTGGAAGGTCAAATACTGAAGCTGAAGGTTAAATCTTTTAGCCACATAATGAGAAGATGGGACTCATTGGGAAAGATCTTATGGTGGGAAAAACTGAAGGCAAAAGGAGAAGGACATGACAGAAATGGATAGGGAATGTCGTAGAAGCAACCAACGTGAGCTTAGACAGACTTCAGGAGATAGGGGAGGATAGAAGGGCCTGGTGTGCTCTGGACCATAGGGTCACAAAGAGTCAGATACAACTGAACAACAACAACAAACACCCTTTCAACTCTGAAGTCCTACAAAACTGTACCTCATTCATCTGATAATAATAGCTCACATTTTTATAGTGCCTTAAGGTCTGTCAAGAGCTTTACATATATTATCTCATTTTATTCTCGCAACAACCACGTGAAGCAGGTGCTATTATTTTCATCCCCTTTTTATAGGAAAGGAAATGAAGACTAAGAGGAGCTCAATGACTCCTCCCTAGTGTCTGAGGTAATATTAGAACCCAGGTCACTCATGTCCCCAAGTCAAAAATCTCCCTCCCTCCATCATGTTGCCTCTGATATGGAAAGAGAGTCAGCCTCACATCGTGCTCAGCTGAGGCCCTCTGCTCCCACTGCTCTTTTGCAATGCTTCCCCCTACTTCTCTTTTGGCCAGGCTTCCCCTTCAACAGCCTCCAGATCTATGGTTCCTTCTGACTTGAAATCCTGTGCAATGTGGAGGACCCTTTGATGGTCATTCAGGGGCTCAGATGTCAAGATCTGTCACTGATCATTCCCTTTTTAGAAAGGTCCTGAGCTGCAAACTTTCCCTTCCTCCCCCTTGAGCCTTAAGAGGGCTCTTGGAATCTTTGTCAAAGCAAGCAGTCTTTGGAAGATTGTGAGGTTCCTGAAGCTCGGCAAGCTTGACCCTACGCTCAAAGGAAGCGGGGCCCAGAGAGGGGGCTGGGTCAGCAGCCTGGGACGAGGAACATGTTACCTTTCTGCATCAAGTCAATTAGTCAGAGTAGGTTTTCTTTGATCACCAAATGCCTGGGTTGTGCTTCCTAAAGGGGAAACAAAATACAGTTAAGGAACAGTAAGGATCAAATCTCAATTCCCCCATACTTAGAAGAAGGCCTGCCAGGAAGGATGCTGAATTTAAATTCTGGGCAGAGATTTTGTTTTCTCTACCCCTATCTAGGGGCCCAGGGCCCCAAGGAAAGTGGTTTCCTTCCATTCTAAAGATTTTTGAACCTCAGGTCCAGGACAGCAGTGTCTGCAGCAGATGTGAACCTGGTCACAGATTTTCCTGAGCTTTACCACAGTTAGCTGTCCAAGACCAGGGAGGGGGAAATTGGTGGCACTGGGACATAGGAGGGTTTTTCAGGGACCTGGTATGTAAGGGAATGGAAACAAGTCAGGGTCCGACCGTAAGGATTTAGGAGTAAACGAGTCATCTTATTGGTATGGATACTTAAAGGGATTCTTGAACACACGCTCCTTTAAAAATAACCCCAAAATGAATTCTAAAAAAGCTTATATACAAACAAACATACAGCAGAGGAACGGAGCCTTGGAACGGAGATATTCAAGCGCTACGTCAACAAGAAATCTTTGAAAAGAAATCTCCATGGCGGGGCAGAGACTTTGCACAGCTAGCGATGCCTGCGGGTCAAGTCAGTGGGCACTTCCTAAGCGCTCCTGGGGGCAGCTCGATGTGCCAGGCCCGGTTGGCATCACCGCCATCCTTCATTTAGAAGGGGATGTCGGGCCTCCTGCACGGATTGGGTTGAAGCGAGGCCGAGCTGCGCAAAGCCGGCAGCCTCGCCCTCTCCTCCTGGGTCACTGCTGGGACTCCCCAGGAAGGCCAAGTGTGGGGTGCCGGCGTGGATGTGTTACGGTATATGGTGGCGGGCCAAGGCTCGGGACGACTGGCGATGGCCCGGGATGCGGCGGCGGCCCTCGGTGTCCGCGCGGCCGCTCGGCCCCCCAACAGGAAGTGTTCACGTGTTTGGGGGAGACACCCCGATAACTCCCCAAGAGGTCTGAGGTGTACCCGTCGCCCTCCCCGCTCGCTCACCCGCATGGCTCTCCGCCTCACGAGCCGCCCCTTTCCCGCCCTTGGCCTCCGCACGGAACCAGCCGGGCCAGCCGGGCCAGTCGGGCCAGCCGGGCCAGTCGGACCAGCCGGGCCAGCCGGGCCAGTCGGCCTCCGAAGTGAAGACGGGAGCCAGAGCGCCGGGAGTGCCCCCGCCCGCAGTGCGCATGCGCCCTCGGGGCCCGTGGGGCCGAGCTGCCGACACTTCCCTTCCTTCCCCCTGCTCGTCTCTCC